AGTAGACGGTACAGTTTCGGGCTTTGCTAGAAAGTTTTGCAGGAAAATAGATCTCGCAGACGATATTAACATCTAGGCGTATATAAATACATAGACTAGTGTACAGTACCTTGAGTTTCTCGTATTTTTCAGTAATTTCTTGATGGTCGGACGGTGAATCTTGATCTGTCTCCAAATGCAGCTTCTGAGATAACTTCTTATTCTTAAAGTAGGAAAACTAAGTGGATTGAAATTGTAGATGGAAATTGTGAGTGGAATTTTATACATTTATTACACCTAGCCAGGAGCAGTTGCGAAAACTATCGGCCCTCTGACAGGAAAGTTGTATCGAGTGAAATGTCTGATATTCTTACCTCACTCCGTAGTTGCCGTGACGACATGTTTTGCCAGTATATCGCAGTACAAACTCCAGGTGGCTGGTTACATTTGAGAGAAGAGTACGCTTTCTTCGTGTAAAATCTCACGATCTCTTGTTCCATGCACAGTTGTAGTTTCTCCTATAGACACATGGGCAGATAGATTAATCCATCGAGTGCCAGCGCTCTCTCCCCTGGCGATAGTAAAATAACAAAGTAGGGCGCATTGCCACTTCATGGCATGGGTTAACAATTAAACTTATACCTGTTCACTTCTTTGCTTTCTTAACAGTTCTTCTTTAGATTTTTCGCGTTTCAAAGATATCTCTCTTTCTTCTGTTGAATGAGCTGGTACTTCAGTACCCTGAAAACAAAAAAATAATACTGTAAGTGCATTTCAGGAATATTGGTGTTACTAACGGGGGAAAATCTGCGAAGTGTGGCAAAATCAAACAAGAAAGACACTTCTCACGTGTGACTGAGGTGAAATAATAACCAATTAACTGTGGTTAGACGGATAAGTACTACTTCTTTTCAGTTCAAATTACTTAACAATTTTACACAACGAACAAAAACTAACCTTTTCCTGATTAACTGCCAATTCATATTGTTTGGTCTTCATTAAAAACTGATCATAACCAGGGACCCTCAGCTCAGCTAACTGACATCTTCCAGCGGCCATGAGCGACTGCCATGTCACTGTGGGCTTTGAAGGCTTCATGGCTGCCATGTTGACACCAGTTGCTAATCTTGTGCTTTCCTTGCCAGCCTGGGAATTACGTAGTTCCCTTTGAAGTCGACCAGTTGTGGACCTTGTGTCTGCCTCCCAAGATGTACCATGGTCGCTGCTTGAAATCGGTTGTCCAGCTTTTCGTCTGGTGGTGTCATCCTCCAGGGTGGTTGTTGATTTTCTTATTAAGTCGACTTTTCTTCTTCCTCGTTTCTTCTCTAGTTGCCAAGGTCGAAAGTCATCTACATTGTCTCCGCCTCTTTTTACCGGTCTTACTTCGGAAACCATTTCTTCCCCGAATCTAGTACCATCTTTCTCCGAAGTCGTGTCATCGTATTTCCAAGATGCAAGGTGAGTATGCTCCACCGCAGAGGATCGATCCAGAATCGTTTTCTCGCTTCTTTCTGTATTCAGGACAATATTTTCTGATGTAAACTTGTTCCCATGTTGGTCAGTTACTTTCAAAGCACCCAAGCTATCTGATTGACTCGTTCCACCATACGAATTTGATAAATACGTCTGGGTAGTACCATAAGCATTAGACTGCTTTCTTATTTGTCTGCTTTCGGAAACAGTTAGGAGTCCGCTTCTTTCATTCATAGGAGTAAGAGATGCCGCATGTTCTTTGGACTTCGCCTCATCATCGTTATCATGTGATGTGGAAGAGATTACATTTTCTTGCTCTAAAGAAGAAAGAACTTGTATTGATGAGTTTCACGGTAAGGCTACAGTACTTCAGTCTTCCGATGGTGACCAACTTCAGAAGTGTTGACATTGATAGAAGAAAATTAAACTACATCTCTTAATTCTATTTATTTGCCTCTCGATACAAGGCTGCTAGATATTATAATGAAAAGTATTAAAATTATTTTCTCATTCAGATAACTGCAAGTTGACCATCAACGATAATGCGTTGTGAAACATACCTCTTGATTGCTTCGCGGATTGCTCTTTCTTTAGCAAACGGACTTCTAGTGATGGTTCATTTTCTTTCAGGTCAGATTCTAAACCTTCAACGTCGAGGAAAAGTTCATCGTTTGATACAGAAGATTGTTCGCTTGCCTCTTGCTCCACTGAATCTTCAAGGGGCGTTTCTTCATCTGCGACAGATACACCTCCATAACTATAACTATGAATCTTCGGTGTCTCAAATCGCTGGCTCCCAGAGACGTCAGTTACGGACACATCACTATAAATATAACTGGGATTCGTCATCACGTTATCTTGCTGCCCCAGAGAGCCGTAGTACTGTGAAAACCCAGGAGCTCCAGAAAAAAGTCCTGTCGATAAAACCTCAACGGCAATGCTCTCGTCAATCTCTGGAGTTCTACTTCTCTCCACGTGAACTTGAGAGTTCTTCTCCCGAGATTCGGTTGGCGGATCTTCAGACGCAGCCGTAAATGAAGGATATCTTTTGGTATTCTCGTTTTCTGCACCCTGCACACTGATTGAATCTTGCTTCTTTCCTGAGATTTCTATCTCTTCAGATCGGTTATCGAGTTCCTCGGAACCGTTAGAAGATACATCCAATTTTTCTTTCGTTTTCTCGTGATTTTTTATTGAAACGTGTTCGTTTCCGGAGTGTTCTGTTTCTTGAGACCGAGAGGAAAGCTTTTCAGATCCATAGGAAGGCATCTTCACTGTGCTTTTCACGTTTACTTCATCGCGATTGTTGCTTGAAACGACTTCGTTTTCCCTCTCTTTGGCTCCCGTTTTAAAGGCAGAAGTGCTCACAGATAACTTGTTTTCCGTGTTCTCGTAAACTTCAGGCTGACCACAGCTTGCAACTTGAAGTGACGATGCATCATTCTTCAACTCATTTCCAGGGCGAGATGTGAAGCTTTCTATTTCAGTTGGAAAATCATCTTGTCTATCTGTCTTCCCTATACCCAAAGCTTCTTTCCTTGGCGTGTCTGGTTTTTGTACCTTGCAACCTTCACTTGCAATGTTCTTGGGGTCTGTCCCTCCATCCTCCTCTACATTGCCACATTTCTTGTATGACGTCACTTGTGTAGTACGCATAGTCAGCTCTTCATTGCGAGGTTCCAGTTTACAGATATACATAACCGGTTTCTCCATTTTTGACTCTCCCTGAGTTTCTTTGCGTTGTATTTCATTCCCTAGAATAGAACCTCTCGCATGTGATCGCTCGTTGTCTGGATTATGGGTCTGCGAAATAACAGATAAAGATTAAGGTTTAGTTTTCGCTTCATAATTCGATAGAAAGCAGCAGAAATTTTACTTGCAAACGTATATCAAGAAACGCTCAGTACACACGATCGCGCGTACATGTACCTTTTCCGTGCTGCCCGCAGCAGCAATTTCTTCACTGAGAACTTTCATATCTGCCTTTTCAAAACCTGTGTGTAGTATGCCACGTAAATTAAAGATGTCGCTCATCTCTTTAGTGCTGATCAGATCTGTAGGTTTTTTCCTTCGCATGTTTGTCTGGTGTGGGTTTGCACCGCAAGACAGCAGCATGTTGACAACCTTGAAAAACAAAACACATTTGAAGTTTAACAATAGTTTGTCAAGGAAAACTAAGAAGCATGTATAGCCTTGACTTGTATAAAGAAACGTTTGCAAACAATATTACCTCGACATGGTTATTCACCACAGCGTCATGCAGTGGTGTGTCACCCTCAAATCCTGAGACATTCACTCCAGCACCACGTCTTACCAGAATTTTTGCTGCTTCGAGATTACCATGGTTGCATGCTTCATGCAGAGCTGTCCAACCTGAACAATGATATCACACTACTGTCAGTCCAAGTTAGTTTGTTAAATTAATTGACTGACATGTTGTAATAGGGAGGTTCAGATTTGACTTCCATTAACGCTTCTGCTACCGTTAACCAATCAAATGCCTATAAACCCATGGCCAGGTGGCGGAAGTTAGATCTGAACCGGACTCTGATATACTACAAGACGGCAAAGAAAAGAAATTGCTTTGTCTGATAAGTTGTCAGTGCACAAACATGGAAAATAAATACACAGATCATCCATTGAGATGGACTATCTGCATAGTTTGTTTACTCCGGATAAATTTGTGTTCGTAGTTTGTCTTGATGGATAAGAGCTAGAGGGGTTCAGATTTGACTTCCGCTACCTCTTAGTACGTATCTGATTGGTTAATCATATATATCAAACACATCTGATTGGTTAATTGGATATATCAAACGCATATGGTTGGTTAATGGTCCCTCAATGGTAGTCAAATCTGAACCTCTAGAATGAAGGATAATCTGTGTGTCGAAGAACTGCATTTGACCAACTGTCAGGAACATATCAGGTATTATTTGTTTCCAGAACCATTGCCAGTATAGATCGTGCTGTTTTAGAGTAAGACAGTCGCGTGGGAATCACGTGATTCTGGGTGGCAAAGGAAGTGGAAAGTATGCAACGGAAGTGGTCAGCAAACGTAGCCACTGTCGTCCGAATTCGCCAGAAAACAACCTTTCTGAATTTTACTAAGCATGATCAACTGTAGCTCTACTGAAGTAAACCTGTGAAATTTTAACGGCTAAAGTACACCGTGGGTATTTTTATTTAGCATTTGCCATCGAAAATGGCGGAAGTGAAATAATCACGTCGAATTATGTGTTGTGACGTCACGTGCAAGAGGTGAATTGATTATTGATTCATCGATTATATCTATTATCTACCTGCATAATCTTTCAAGCCAACTTGAGCGCCGTCTTTGATCAGTTTTTTCAAGCTCACAATGTCTCCTTTAATAGCCGCGAGATGCAATGGCGTCTCTCCTCGTTCGTTCCGTCTATACACGCGAGGGTTCACACATTTCCCGTTTCGTTTTATCCTACTTGTGCGTGATTTGACTTTCGTAAACGTGCTGTCGTTCTCGTCCTCCGTGCTCTCGCGCGTGCTGGTCGCCTCGAGAAGGAAAGCAAGTTGTTGACGTTCAGTGAGAAGTCGTTTTTGTGTGTTGTCGTTCGTAACATTCTTCACAGCGTGATCCGATCTTTTCTTTTTGTGAACGGTTTCAGAAACATTTTCATTTTCTAAGATAATGAAATTTATGTGTTATTGCTCTCAGCATAAGCAGATGGCGGTCAACCTTTGAAATGTTCACATTTATGAAAGCAAGCAAATTAATCTGGAGCTCTCAAAACAGCATTCCAGAAACTACGTCACCTTGGCTATAGAGCCTCGTTTTCATGATGAGATGTTAGGTTCAGCCTTTTGAATGATGGGTTTTATGGCGCATTACAATAAAACTAACTACAGGAAAATCAATTCAGCATAATTCAAGATCAGTGATCTCAATGTTTTTAACATTTTTAAACATTTTTAATGTTAAAAACATTGAGTTCACTGATCTTGAATTATGCTGAATTGATTTTTGTAGTTAGTTTTTTCAATTAAAAGGGTTGTAATGCACCTTAAAAACCATCATTCAAAAGGCTGAACTGTGCCTTTAACTAATGTCACAGACTCTATAGCCAAAGTGGCTTGTTTTCTATTTACTTCCCTCCAAATAAAGATTATTACATATAAATAAAAGAACTAACATTATTTTCTCATTCTGAAAACTGCAGGTTGACCCATCTGCTGCACGATGGTGCTTAGTGAAACCTACATTACCTGACGCCTGATCCACAAGTTGCCCAAATAACTTTCTTTTTGACAACTTTTGGGAAAATCCAACTGCAATTGCCTTCAAAAAATTGAATAAAGTACACAAATAGTCAAATCTTAATATGCAAATGCATTCTTAAAGGTGATCTACAGTCCGATCTGCACATGTGCACAAAGGAGCCCACTTTTTATGATACAAACAGTTTAACTATGTTTTGGGTTCTTGAAAAGCCTGGTTATTGTTTCTTGATCATTTATTATACTCTAGAAGCTTGAAAATATAAATAGTTGTCGAATAAAGCTCAATATTTTGGACACAAAAATGTAAACAAAGGCTTTGTTTACATACGGACTGTAGAGCACCTTTAAGGTCTGTTTACACATGTAATTTTTGCTGTGATTCCTAGTGTGATTTTCTCCTGCATGTGAACGAGTAGCGTCGACCCTCATCTGAACATTCATAACACATCCACTTGTACACATCCATCAGAAGATAATCTTAAGCAAAATGCAAATTCTGGTACATAGATGTTTTCACTTTTCACTTGTGACACCATGTACTGCATGATCACATGAGTACTGTACATGCTCCCATGCAAAGCTACGTAACAAATGCCACCTTGTTACAAGGCAGTTGTAAGTTGGCATTCTGCTGACCTTTTTTGCTCCAAGTAATGGGGTTGTCTCAGGTTGCATAGGGTTATCAGGGGTGATCTCTTGACAATGTTTCTTGAGATTTTCTGCTGGTGTGCAAAGATCAACTTCCATTCTACTGTTTTCACTAACTGGACTTAACTCCATTTTTGCCCTGTTTTATAAAGAAAATTGTGAAACTCAATGAAGAAAACACAAAAGAAATCATGGGCGTGAAGGGGTTTGTGTATCTGATACAAAATCATGCTGATTTACATAAACTTGAAGTTCAATTTTCTCACCAAATATAATTTATTTTAAATTGTTGAAGAATACAAATGTTCTCATTCTCTTATTGAAGAATACAAATGTTTCACAAGCCCTTTACAACATTCACATCTGTGTTGTATCAGATACACAAACTCTTGCATTTGGTTCAAGTTTGAAAATCCGATACAACACGGCCACTGATGCTGTAAATATTGCATACTTTTTTTTTTGGGGGGGGGGGAGCTATTAGAAATTCCAATGTCCTCAACAGGGGGGTGTGCAGGTAAATATATGGAGTGAGCCACAATATATTAAGTCATCAACCTGTCCAAAATTCATGCATCTTCTAACCTACTATAGCTGGCAAAATCAATGTATCACTATACATTTATAGAAGAACTACAAAAAGCATGTTTCAACTACAAATACAATATGATCAGATGTTCAGAACGCTACAGAAATATGTACCTTCAGAAATCACAAATTTTTAGCTCTCCCTACAAAGATCTGGCTTGTAATACTACTAGAAAATAAAATACAATAAACATTATACCTTTCTCTTATTCCTTACAAAAAGATAACGGAAAAAAAGCAAAATAAAAAGCGAAAAATGTCCCAACCTTCGATCTACTACACAACTTTCCCGCATCTTTTGAAAATTCCCGCCAAGCACGCCATTACATCCGGGAACAAAATGTCTAGGTCTCAGGCTCTTCACTCTCGAAAAGGTGCGCGGTCAAGATGGCGGCTCGGAGTGTTGTTGCGAAAGGAAAAAACGTCCCAAAATGGGCTTTAGATTTAACGAACAGGTTCGTTAGGGAAATAAATAGTTGGAGTAATTATAAGTACAGGATTTAGACTTTGTGTTGTTGTTGTTTAGAAGTCAGAAATATGAAGACATGTGGTTTTGTACAGCTGTGAAGTTCGAATTGAGTAATTGACGAATTGTAAAAAGTTGTAAATAAGATATTTTCATGCCAGACGGGCTATTTCATGTCCTACCGTTTGTTGGGCTTAGAATAAGAAATATGCAAGTTTTGCAAAATTTTGTACCTGCCATTCAATATGGTTGTGTTAATGTTTCTATTTTAGTATTAATTTTACAGTATTTGTAGCACCAGCACCAAAACGAGGCTTGGTGTTGCAAACACAACTAAAATTTCCAAAAGGCACATAAGGAATACACCTTCCCGGAAAGTATGTCACCTTGGCTTTTTGTTTTTGTGATATCAGTTAAAGCCTAACGTCTCGATCATGAAAACGAGGCTCTATAGCCAAGATCACATACTTTCTGGAAGGGCGTATTGTTGAAACTTACAACTGACACACAACCATGTTTTGTAGACAAACAGTCCCTGAACAAAATGTCTAACATGGTGTGTGTTAGTATGTTTTCTTTCTAGTAGATTTTAATACTAATAGGCTAAACTAATCACTGGATTCCTCAGCTACATGCATCTACACTTTAGTTAACTGAATTTGAGGTTCTTTAGACCAAAGTACATGCCCATTGACAAGTACAGCCATCATACGACAGAGCTTGCTGACCCAGCTGGATATACAGAAAAACAACTGGCAGATACGGCAAGTGCTTGGAGATCTCGTTTAACAAAACTGCCATTTTTTCACGGTTACTAAATTCTTGTTTCATTTCGTAGGATGCTCATGAAATTGATCACAATCTAATCACAAAGGTGACATACCTACATACTTTTATTCCACATTAATGCTTTTATGAAGGTGGTCTGACTACAGATATTTGCTCATATTTTTGACAGATGACGACATATCTAACCTAATATCCAAAACCCTGACATCCAAAAATTGCATTCTAACAAGAATTTGCCATGTTTTTAGAAATCATGGGATATTGCTATTGGTCCACTAAAACAGATACCAATGACGTTATTTATAATGTACATGGCTGGTAATACAATCTCGTTGTTTCCAATCATGATGGTAGGCATGATGTTCCTGAAGCCAGTTAAAGCCTTGTTTTCAATATCATCAGGTAAAGATAGGTACATATCCCTCCCCATTCAATTCAGTCAAGTGAACTCACAGATGGATTTTCCAAAGGATGCAACCCCTCCCCCTAAGAAAAATTTGCAAGCCCCCTCCCTGAAAGTCACCACACAACCCAGAAAAGCTTAGCACTCTTGCCAGTCCCCCTCCAGAAAAAGTCCACCCCAGTAAATCTTAGCACCCACCCTGAAAAGTCAACACATCCAGTAAAACGTAGCACTTTCACCCTCCCGGAAAAGTTGGACTACTGTCTACATGAGCACCATCTATTCCAGTTACAACTGCACAAGTCTATTTGACAGATCAAAACAAAACCTGCCATCACACTAAATTCCTGTCATTATCTTCCAGCATTTGCGACACTAGAAGGTGAACAATCCTTTCTAATGAAGATCATTTACCTACTGGGGAATATTGCGTTACTAGTGATAGCATTATACAAATGTCAGTCTATGGGTCTGTTACCTACCTCACCTTCAGATTGGATTGAATTTGTAGAACATAAAGAGGTATGATTTCTCGATCTAAAATCTCGTATTTTTTTATATTCCTCAAAAACGTGTCAAAATAATAAAAGCTTTGACCATGTCAAGAATACAATACAGCATGTATATTTGTTAAAAATATTGATTCAGGCTGAAAATTAAGCGTATTAAAAATATGAAATGTTGTTGCGATGAAATATTTCCCTGTAGTAACTGCACCTAACAAAAGTGTTCTTGATTACTTTCGATGTGCATTCCAAATTACGTTAACTACCATTCGAAACGTAATTAGAATGCAGTGTTTCTCAAGAGTACCATGACTACCATCGTTCCAAGATCTCACTTTTCAAACGTTCTTTGTAGAGACTCGAGTTCTCTGGGGGAGGCATGGCTCTAAGTTAACCACCAAGTAACTCGTCCTCATCAACCTTTCCATCATCCAACTTCACCGTCGCCGCTTGAATGAACCTTGCAAGGAGAAAAATTATTCTGGACTACATAAAGGATAGTTAGGTTAAATGTAAAACTACGTGGACTAGAATTTTAAATCACTGAAAAAACCAACTGAAGATTACGTAGATTCAAACATCCTGTAAAATATGTTGAATTGAATAAAGTTAATTACAGGAGAACAAAATTTTGGGCGAAAGTGTACCTTTGTGCTTCTTGCCACTTCCTGACTTCCCAAATGACTACAAGTATAAAACAAGAAAAAAAACTGAAAACTGGTTCTGACAGTTTTTAAAATGGCAACGAGATTGCAAATGAAGATGAACGACAAACATAGATATTTATACTAACCCTTGACTTTCGCTTCTTCCTCGAGGTATTGCTGAAATGTTAGAAATATATATTTGAACAAGCAGGTCAGAATTTATAAAGTTCCACGTTACGTTTCAAAATCAAAAGAGAATGTTTTATTAGTTACGAATCCGAATCGTTTTGTAAAGTTGTTGATGATTACTCACCTTGGAGTCCCATCTTCACTGTCTTCAGACTACACATAGAAACGAAAACAAAAACTTTTGTATTCGACATAATTATAGTACATATGCATTACAAACGTCATGCACCAGCACTACACACGTAAAAACGCACAAGTTTGTAACAAGTCTGTTCACAAGCTGTTAACAAGATGTATTCGCACTGCTTGTCACAAGTTGTCAACAGGTTTGGAACAACTTGTTGACAACTTGTAACAACCTTGTCGAAATTATCAGACTTGTTGCAAGGTTGTTCTGACAAGTCTGTGACA